CTGCATGTATTATAGCTTTTGGTATGTGCCCCGCACCTTCTGTGACCTAAATCTTGAGGTTAAACCCATCATATGATTAGAGAGTGGGCACCATCAAAGACAACCATTTCAGACCTAAATACAAATCAAAACACCAATCCAGTCCTGTGCATTTTTAGAGCCACTATGTCAGCCTGTAGGGGTGAAGGTGAAAGTAAGAAAGAGGAGAAACAGCCAGCCAGTTGCTTGCTTCCCCATTTATACTTTTCCCTTTAGGAGGCACCCTTGCTCAAATTCTCCCATCCACAAAGCTCCCACTGCTCTGAGCCCTTTTCATCTTTTTTGTAAAGAAAAACACAGCTGAGATTTCAAATCCACTTCCAACCCCATCCCTTTGGCAGTCTGAGGGGCATTCTGGGTACAGGAGCACCTTATGCAACTGCCTTGTTTGCATGCCCTTGGAGCTGGCTCTATTCCTCAAGAAGCCAGAGTTAGATGATGCGACACCCAGAGGAGAAACGACGACTGCTCAGGAGGCCCAGAGGAGGGCAAAAGTGATGATGGAAACCATGTAATGCTTCAGCACATGGTTGGCATAATTCCTTACACTCCCAAGTATCTGGAAGAGCTATGAACACAAAAAAAACATGAAATGCAGCCAGGCTTTAGATCAGCCAGATGTTGGTAGTAACAGCTCTGGATAGTCAGTTGTTGTGCCCACTGCATTCTTCACACTTTCCCACTCATACTCCTCGTTGCTTGCCCCATCCCTGGAAATATTCAAGGTCAGGCTGGATGGAAGTCTCAGCAACCTGATCTTGTTGAAGATGTTCCAGCTCATTGCAGGAGGGTTGGAACCAGATGACCTTTAAAGGTCCCTTCCAACCCAAACTGTTCTATGATTCTATATAAGGTAGGTGCAATAAGCCCCCAGACTAAAGACGTAATTAATGGAACAAAAATATAGCCTAAGAGAACCAATTAAAATGATGAAAATCTTTAATTTTATTTAAGTATAATTGTACGGACACGTGTATATACAAATACAGATTTTATGGGGCGGGGATTTTCGGTGTTTTTTGTTGGGGTTTTTGTTTTGTTTAGTTTTGTTTTTTAACATTTTCTTTTAAGTTCATATAATGTAAGCATTTCAAAACCAGCACTCAATGAATAAGTGCAAAGAAACTGCAAAGCAGGGCAGTACAAGCACAGGACCACACGAGCTGGACTTTCATACCCAGATCCATACACAATGAGTGTCTTCAATGGGGTGTCAAGAGTAAGCATGGAAAGCAGATTTCGCAGACTCATGGGTAACCTCCAACATGCCAGCATCTATTAAACTGTACAGACAATGGCAGCAAGCCTATTGTAGGGAGATTTGTCTCACATCCGAGAAGCTCAAGGGCGAATGCATGGGAAAAACTCAGTGATGCCAGACCAGAAACAGGTCTGCCCATTCATAGCTCCAAATTAGAAAAGGAGAAGGGTGGGAGGGGAGGAAAGGCAGGAAGAGGGAAGAGAAGTGTGGAGGGTTGTACATTAAAACTGGTGATTACAAAATCCAAGCATAATGAAAGGAGGGGAAGAGTTAACACTCTAAGCCTCTGAAAGTGACTAAACCATTGCTCTCACAAGGCAATGGATTAAGTTCAATTTTGAGGGCTAGGGGTGGGAATCAACAAGTACAAATACAACCATTTTCCTTCCGCAATTATATAGGAGAGGAAACAATCTACTTCATCTACTCTCAGTACCTCCCAAATTTGTTTCTAGTTCTTTTGGAACCAGGTACATACATACATCGCACATGACACTGGCAAGTTCCTTTCTGGAAAAAACTATTCATAGAAACAAAACCAGAAGGAAAACAGGAGAAGAAAGAAAAAAAAAAAAAAAAAAAAGAAGAACACCCCCCAAAAAACAAAAAAAAAACCAAAAAAAAAAAAAAGAAAAAAGAAACAAACAAATAAAACAACGGAAGAGTTTCTATATCCCCAAAGTCTTTTTGGAACAAACATGATACAAAAGAACAAAAAATAACAAAGAAACCATAGGGCTCCAACATCAGACCTTTAAACACTGAGGACAAAACACTGATCATCAAGTCATGTTGTTCCAGGTCTTGACATTGTGAAGTCTTGCAACAGATGAATAATTTCCAAAGATGAGTCCTATATGCTGCAGTGTCATGGCCACTTGTCTCTCAGTTCTCAGCCATGATCACACTTGATGCTTCAAAGCTCTGTCTTGTAATCAACATATGATTTTAATATCCTGAAAGTCTATTGTTCTCACTTACAAAAGACATAAGAATCAAATTAATACTTTATTATCAAACACTATATACAACAGAGGTTACTAATAATACAGAATTTAAAGAACATAGCTTTAAGTTTTACTTGTCTTTCCTTCACCATCCAGGTAAGTACAGTACAAAACAATATTCTAAACTAACACGAAATGTTACCTTGTCTATTAAAGGATACACAGTATCCACTAAACTGACTGATCCCTATTTTCCCTGCTTCACATTGAAATGTCCTTGGCAGCCAGGAGTACACGTCTTGGAGATAAGTAAGCCACCTAGGCTGAGGGAGAATCAGTCCCTCAGGCTTGAGCCAGGGTAGATAAAGGGGAAAGGAACAGAAATCTCCATTAATTTGCACCAGCATCTGCATTTAAAGCATCCAGAGATATGAAATGCAACACAAAGCCCATCAGCGTTTATGTACTTGTTATGACTGGGATTGCCTGATGCCACTGAGTACCAAACTGACAGTGTCTGGTATGCTCCCAGCCACACCATATCAGACAGGGCAGGGATCTGTCTTGCATCACTCATGGTGTTCCTCACCTACCTTACAGGTTTCTGTGATAAAACAAAGGAGTGATTTTCAGTAGTGTTCAGTGACAATCCTTTGCTGTAGATAAACATATGTCTTGAACTCTGAAATCATTCAGAGATAAAGAATGAAAAATGAAGTCACCATTTCTACATTAAATTGGCACTACTGGTATGACTGCCTGTGCAATTGCTATGAATAGTTTTAATATGGTTACCTATAATGTGATATTATCTGTACTCTGGTTAATAATCCATTTGATAAGGTGCATTTTGATTAAGCTTACCTCATCCAAAGCTTTTTAATTCCTACCTACAGGAAATATTAGTGTGTGTACCAGGCACATCCACATTAAAGTAAGAAAAGTACCAGATAGCCTGTAATGAGATGATGACTTCCGCCGTTGTTTAGACTGCATACCTTATTGTGTGCACTTCATACTAGAGGAAATTTCCTACATTCCTCCTATTAGCACAGGCCCTACACTAACATTGTACGATATCAGACAAGCCCAGATCATAGTTTAGCATGCACAAACCTCCCTTTACTTCTTAAATTTATTTCCCCCTTTCCTCCTTTTTTGGATAGTGGGCTGCTTCAACTTTTGAAATGCTTTTCTTCATTAAAAAGAAAAAAGCCCACAAAGTGCTGCCAATTAATGGTATCACTCAATTTTGTTACAGCAGACTTCAGAATTAATATAGAAAACTTTTATTCTGCTTGATCCCAGTCCATATTTTGTTTTTCATTTAACATAATTATCACAGTTTTTGTTAGAAAAGCTTTGTTTCATTCTTGGTCTGCTATTTCCCTGATTATGCTTAGCAGTCCAAATTTCATGGCAGCCTAGCAAAAAAATATCCCAAGGCTTGCACTTCCTGGCAAATGACTTAAAGTTCTATGTTAGCCAAGGCTCAGATTCCTTAAACAGGGTCACTCCTAATTCCATCCAGCAAGACAGTCCCATTTCCTAATTGCATCAAGGGTTACCACTTCTCTCACATGTTTAAATAGGACAAGCATATATACTTACTCTCAGCATAAAGTATATCTAAATAATGTATATTCTATTCTAGTGGATTTTTAAAAAAATATTTTGTTAAGTCTTTGGGAGCCCATCTAGTTTATCTCTGGCTGATAAACACGTTTCCTCTACTCTTCAAACTGTGCTGGAAGGGGAAAAGATAAAAAATCAACACTTGAATTCGTAGTCCACACTTCTTTCCTCCCACCAAACAATGCTACTACTGTCCTGGCTTGTTCTACATGTGGTTGGTTCCCATGGTTGAGGAACTTGCAGGAGAGACAAATCAAGAGCACACTGGAGATCCTGTGTCACAAACACGTTTCCTCAGGCCACTTACGTCCTCTCTTAGCATGTATTAACACCCAGAGCAGCATCCAAGGCTATCAGCTACTAAGTCAGTGCTGGGGAAGGTCACTTTATTCTCAAAAGTGCCTCTGCATTTCAAGAAAAAAACTGTAGCACCACGGTGATTTGTTTTAAAATAAAATAATCCGGTGTGCAATATCCCCTTAAAACGAAATAACAGAGGCACTCACACCCCCAGTGAAGTTTCCTAAATCCGACCTTGCCTTCTGTGTGCCAACATTCCTAAATACGAACTTCCTCCTCTCACCAAAGACAGCATTTCTACTCATGAGCACAAATTCTACTGTCAAAGATGTTTCAAGATAGTCCTATAAGAAACATGTTCTTTCCCTTTCAGAAGCCTGTTCACTTAGAAACTCCTGGAGGAAATGGTGTTATATTATATCTATTCTTAATATTTCCCTTCCAGTCCTGACATGGTGACATGATGCCTTGCATGATCATCTTACAGTGCTGAACGAGAAGGCATAAATATTGTACCAGAGAGAAAAACTCTCTCAGGCTTTAACACACTTTCCTTATCCTTCACTGACTGCATATGCCACTGTTCTTCCTTGTCCACATACGGATGACACAGTGAGCTGACAGAGGTGACTTCTTAAAGGAGAATGCAGAGGAAAATAAGAATCACTAGTGTCACTATTATAGTTTGGCATTTTCATTTGGAGTCCTTTTATTTATATGGAGGGGTTAAGAAAGTCAAGGGTAGGTAGGGGTGGGTGTTGAAGCTAGTTATCCCCTTCAAATTTTTGCTGAGTTCAGGCTAAAGGGAGAAGAAAAGGGAAAAGGGAAAAATAACAATTTGACATCTGCAAAAACAATAAAGTCCCTTTCCTGGGATGATGAGTTAGGTGGATCTTTGATGTTCCAAGATCCTGGTATTTTCTGTGACAGGTTGCTGGAGCATACTGTGCTATAATATCAAAAGCATTGCCAGGAGGAACAACAGAGTTGCCAAAAGCCGGCTGGGTATCCTTGGTGTCTGTGCTGCATTCTCACCACGGGATGGCTCGGCTGACTCATGTACGGTATCATCTGTTCAAACAGAAAGCATACATTCCAATGAGATTTTGCATCCTTAATAAACTCTCACTGAGCCGACAACTGTAAGTAGATTTCAGTGCCTTTATGAAATAGGGCAATGAACCTTGTGCTGTCATTGACTTTCACAAGCGTGTAATACCTCATTATGTAACCAACTTGGGGCCAAGTCCTGCACTTCTTACTGGCAAAACTCCCACTGAATTCCAGAGGAACAGAAAGTAAGTCTGATTTCAGAACATTGAGGAATGAATGATTCTTCTTCTAATAAAACAGTGTAGCTCTAGGTTTGGATGGCTTCTTAGGTAGCAATGTCAACAGGGAGGCAGTTAAATAAAAACACCTGATTTTCAAAAGGCTTTGAAGAAATGCTGCATGTGATCAGAATTAATTTCACAGTTAATACTCTTACTGAGTTATAGGTTTTGGCTCCTGAATTTGAAATGACAGCCTGTAAACCCAGGTATATATTCCACTTCCACGCATGAAATTTCCACTGATGTGTAGCACATTTGAGGATGTACAGGGGGTATAAGATCAGTTTCCCTTTCTTGAAAGAGAATTTTAAAGGCTAACACATGATAATCTCCAATTCTATAGAACACCTACTCAATCTGGGAAACCTTGCAGGTAACAGACTACCTTTTATGATACAAACCCCCCCCAGATTTACATATACACTGCTAAAACTAATGCAAAAAAGAACCAGCTGTGTTAGGTAAACATGCTTATACATTAGTGACAGAAGATAACACAGTAGCGAGTACTAAATTTATGATACCAGATGAAGTTCTGTTTAGTTTTTGTAAACCAAAGATCAGCCTTAAAACCACAGCTTGTAACATAAATGTAGGTAGGTGAAGTAAAATTCAACTTTAGTGTTGTTATAGCTGTGGTATTTGCCTCTGCAAAGTTTTGCATATCCACAGCTATCTAATTTGGCTATTTTAAAGTAATCTGTCTGAGGCTTGCCATAAAAATTCATCTCTGGATTTCTATTTTCTTAGTACCAAATGAATTAAATAAGCTAAACCTTTTTAGGAATGATGAAGTGGCCTCAAAATTTATTCTGAAGTTATTTTAGAGTGCCTAAGTTTCCAGGAAAATTAACAGTATCTCACTACTTAGTGTAATAAGCTCCCCCATTTTGTGAGATATGTTGACATATCTATGATGTAGCTGTCTCATAGTCCCCATCTAAACAAATTGCACTGCCAGCGTGACCCTGGGTGAGAGCTGTGCAAATCCACTTAAAGGCAGGAGTCAGGACACTGGGATCACCATGCTGCTTTGGTGTGGAGCTTTCCACGTTACCTCGCTTTAGCTAGAAACAAGATCCTTTTTTTCATAACCTTGTCAGCTAGCACAAAAGCAGTTAGAGCACAAAAGCATAATTTAGGTTAATAGGCTCTTCAGCCCCAGTTCAGTTACACAGAAAGATGCATAGTAATCTGGATTAGTAATTTATAACATTTTTTTTTTCCAGTCCTAACTGATGCACATCAAGCTTACCAACAGGTCTTCAGGACTGCTCAAGGCAAAAGTATGAAAGGCAAGCACTGATCAGCTGTAAATATGTTCACATTTGTAAGAAAGGGACATCATCAGATGACAGAGCCACTGATGACAGTGGGAAAGGCTGGCTGGAACAACTTTGGTTACAGTTCTTCACCATGTACAGCAGGGAGACCTCACCAGGCACTTCAGCCCTGAACAAGGCCCTTTCAGTGAATGCTGGCTACTGAAATGTTCCAGTTCCAGTGGTTGCAAGTACCAAAAGCTGTCTCGCATTTCACTTCTGAGTTACACTTCTGTACTTTGGTGACAGTGCAATGAGAGTACAGTATTTCACAAAAGCAGGTACTAATTAAATCATACTCTAAAAAGTTATAGGGAAAAAAAATCCCTATTCTATGGGGAAAAAAATATCCCTATTGTAGCTGTTAACTCTTCATTCATATATATAGAGTCAGCTCTTCCCGATTTGGAAACATTTACTCACTGCTGATGAACTAAAACTGAAGATGACAATGAGGTGCAGTACCTTCCACCTCTTGCATCACCAATAGAAATGCAAATAAGTCTGATTTGCAATGTCGAGTGTCAACAGTTTTGTTCTAATTACATCCATGAGTCAGCACTAAAACACAATAGGGCAAAACTAGCATAGAGCAATAATAAATTTTCATTCACTTTGACTATCAGATACTGCCATGACTGGAACACTGGCTACTGCTAAAAAAAGTCAACAAAAAAGTCCTAAACTAAAAAGATTACTTCTTTTACATGAAAAATATGGAGATTTCTATGGTGTCATTTTTATAAAGCCATTCTTCACAGAGGAATTAATTTTCACGCAACATTAATAGGTTCCTTTCAAGAAATCATGGGGGTTTTCTGTCAGCACAGTCCCAAGGTTTTTGTACTCGTATGTTAGAGCACATGGTTAATCTGTGGTTCTCAAAATCACTTCACAAGTACAATTTTCCTTGGAGGCACACAGTTATAACACTGCACAATGTTTAATGCTTGGGAAAAAGGTTTCGCTTTATTTTTAACACTGAAGGCAAGTGATGAAGAGTACAAAATTTGTGCTTAAAATTTGGAAGGTCACTACTTAAGACTAGGAATGCCAGAAGAAACTAGAAAAAATTATTTCAATTGCCACGAATTTTCGTGATCACATAGGTTTACAACGTCTGCTTCAGGTGTAAATTTTCCGGATATGCACAGCTGCAATTTTTGTTTAGGGACTTTTTATATTTACTATTAAGGATGAAGAGAGGGGGAGGACAGGAGTAGACCAATTACTTTCACCTTTTCTGAAACAGGTGTAATCTCTGTAGACATTTTCATACAAGTTTGTCAACTGACCAATGTAATTACAAGTGTTCAAAAATTACACAAATTGTGATTTTTAAAAGAAAGGTGACAGCAAATAATCTGCTGAACATGACCCTCTTGCCTCCCAGTTTTCTGTCTGCTGTGGAAGAAGACAGTGGCAGGCCAGGGGAGAGCACAGAAGCAGAAGATGCATGTCAGAGGCAGGTAAATTAGTACATGACACAGATCACATGCAACAAGATCCACCAAGGTAGTGGCAAGTCTAACAGCCTAATAACAGATAAGTGTGATAGCAGTTGGCAGATGTAGGAATGACTGATAATCTAATGGTGACTGGTCCAAATAATAATGCAAATATATACTGATGTCAAGAGTGGAAACTTTCTACTACCAAACCTTCTCATTAAATCTATTATTTCCCACTGATAACAAAAACAGTATTTCATCTCAGACTGCAAGATGTCTTTGTATGATTTTTGTTCCCTGGTTTGCCTGCTGCTTTCTAACAATATGGTTTTGTGATGGTGCTAGTTAGGTATAGACATTCAATGGGAAGACAGCAGTGCTGCTGTAAGAAAAATGTTTAAAATAAGTTCGCTAAAATCAGGCATATAGCACTCAGATGATTTCTTTTGTAACAGGAGAAATGCACATTAATTTTCCCAAGCTCACCAAATCACAAAACATAAAGAAATTAATTGAATTTCTAGATTCATAGGTTACCTAGAGGTAGGGAAAAATCATCCTAATGCTTTCTGTAGAAGAATGCTGTTAATAAATGTACAAATATATTTTAATGTAAATGCACTCTCCTTGCATCTAAATTTGTTTAGAGAACATCTTTGATTCTAAAACCTGGTATTTTTAAGAGAGTTCCAAAAATTCTCTTAAAAGGAAAATAGTAAAATCTATTGTGTACCCATAGGTAAATCATTCAAATTGGATGACTTATGGAAGCATTATTTAGTTAAAGAAACTGTAAATAACAAAGAGAAAAAAAAAATTGTATGTTGTTTCATACCAAAAAGGAAGTCTCTTTCAAATAGAATAAGAAGGGAAAAAAAAGCCCAGATACTGGTAATCTGTTCTTCAGGGTATGTACAAAATGTGTGCAATTCTTTTTTGGTATATTTTTTTGTTTTTTTTAACTGGTTACATTAATTATTGAGGCTTGAATACAATGTGTGAGTAATGTGTAGGATATAAAACAAACAGGTAATACTACTATTGCAAATACTCTTCCTACATATCCACCTAATTTTAATGTCATGAACCATCCCACTGAACTTGGTGGGATTACTCACACCACTAGAATTAAAATGTTCCTGCCACAAACCTGAGTTATACAAACCATATATATGCACTTTCCACACAGAAACATATCAGCTTGTGATGGTGGAGGTTAATGTAAATTTGCCTTAGGCTACTGAAGGGCTTTATCATAGCAAGCATTATTCTTATTCCTAACGCAGTGTTTTGCAAAAAAGGACAGAAAAGCCCCCCAAAACTTAAGTTTGTTTCAATAAAAAAAGTATAGGAATTTACAGATATCAGAGTGTGTATGTGTTTGTGTGCACACATGTGTGTAAAAAATTATACATTGCCTAACCAAATATACATACAAATAAATATAATTTTAAAGGACTAGTTGCTTACTTACACACTAACTCAGTCAGATGCATACCTGTGTCATACAAGCAGTGGTTCTATTTTTCTTAAAGTCTTTCTAAAGCACACAATAAATGAAGTTGTGCCCATTGACTGTTTCTAAAACTTTGGGCTCAGTTAGTAAACAGAGTTTTGTCAGTGAGCTGGGGTTTTGGCTTGCATGGGCCAGTGACTTCAGGATACTGGAAAAAAAATTTACACTGGCACACACCGTATTTTATTAAACCACGTCACCAAAAACCAAATAAAGCAACGTTTTCCTCCCCTGCATTAAACAACCATACAGGAAAGCATAAGCAATATTAGCACTCTAGAAATGTGCAAAAGCAGAGCAGTTGTACCATGCAAAACATGCAGAGAGAAGAGGAAAAAAAGTACTGAAGCACCAGAGGGACACACGCATTTGTTAAAAGAGATTCTCTAAGCATACTAACCTGCTGGTTCTAATGAATTTTCTACTTTGTCGTTAACATCGAAAACACGATCATGAACACCTATAGTTTTCATACAGCTGTCTATAACAAAAATAGAGATAACAGCCAAATATGTTAGTGAGACACCCTTAAACTCCCCACTTTCCTTTTTTCCTCTCTTTTGTCTCTCTATTTAGTAGATAAAATTAAGCATATTTATATTTTAAAGTCTGTGGCACTTGTCCAAATGCCAGTATAGCCTTTCATTTGCACAACAGTTTAAGAAACAACAAGTTAGCAACTGCCATATAATTAAAACAAAGCTTTATGAAAAATGATAAGAAAATATGATGAAAATCATAGCACAAATGTTGCTGTACAGAACAGATACACAAGATTTAACACTAAAATAAGGTTTACTGCTGTTTACTAGACCACACGATAAAGCATGCGCTACAAAGCCACCCTCGGAAGCTTAATCTGAAGAACTTACTTGCTGGTCGCACAAAGACCTTAAGCTTTAGACAGGATCGCCTTCCATTATCTGGGATCGCAGAAGCTGTAAATGGGGAACAAGAAAAGACAAGTAGAAAAGTAAGAGAGTGAAAATTAAAGTCATTTCTTGTGCTAAAATAAAATATCCTTTATCTCCCCTTTACTTGAAGGGCTGGACACATTTCAGACTCTGATGGTAAGGACTTCAACTGCACAAACTATTTTGATTACGCAAAAGCAGGGAAAGAACTGCAGATTTTATTCTAATCCCTTTTTTGACTATTTTATATGGAAGAAGTGAAGCACACGGTATTTTCAATGTTTCATTATCTCCTTTTACCTTTCCACACCTTTTTCTCAAGAGGTTGTTTAATATGGTTTCTGCTGTAATGCAGGTGTCTGCTCTGAAAAATTACACTTCAAAATAATTAAGGTCACTTAGAGAAAAGCTAGTCTTGAAACATTAGGCCATGGGCTTCAGCAATCCAAAAAGGGATGAAAAAACAAAGAGACACTGAAGGTGACAATGCTAAAAATAGAACTATGTATATACTCCCAACAAAAGTAGAAATACAGACAATTGAATTATACAGAAAAATCATCCTCCATATGGTCAAATACCTCTGTATTTGTTGAGAAAAGACTCACATTGCTTCAGTAAAAACATGATTCCCCGTGTTCTATAACTAGCAAACCAAAAGCAGCTTATTCCTTCTTTCTGTCCTACCTCGTAATTTCCCATTCAAAGTTTTCCATTTTAAGAGTACTTACTGAAAAAGAGTAAGTGTAAACATAATGTCCAGTGCAAAAGATCACACACATAAGACTAGTGTCAGCACCTAATTATTTCCCAGGAATACATGCTGCTGTGAAAACTTCCTTTCTAGAACTATGCCTGCCTCAAAAGACATGATTATAGGGAAATGCGCCTGCCTGTCACCACAGACTGGATTCCCTAGTGTAGTATCTGTCAGTCTGAACACACTGGTAACTTTCACCAATGTCTGCAACTTTGAAATTGTACATTGGCTTGCATTTCAACATGTATGCTGGCATCCAAGCAACTTGATTTGGGCATGCAGATTTTCACTCCTGAAAAACTATTCATATCCATGGGTTTTTTACCCTTGAAAAAACCCTCAAAAGCTATAGCTGAAAATACTGCCTGCAGCACTGCAAAGTAATTTTTATTTCATTGTATAGTCTTACCCGTAATTAAAAAAGCTATGTATTAAGGCAGAATAAGTTGTCTTTTACAGCAAATGGCAACTATTGGAGACTGTCCTGATTTACAAAAGGTGATTGGGCTGGCAACATGCTAGTTTGTTCTATGTATCACTGTTTCATCCATTTTTCTTAATTCTGTCCAGTTTGTGACAAATAACTTACATGTTTTTACACAGACATGAATCTCATTGTCTTCATGCTAATCTTACACTTGAAGGGCTCCTCAACCAGCTAGAAATAAATTCTCTTGGTCTTTGATGATGTGCTTCCAAGACAGACATCAGCTTTTTCCTCAAATAACTTGCCAAGAAGAACTAGAAAATTTGGTACAAACACAGAAAAGGAGCAAAGTAAAGAGCCCAGTACAGCTAATGCTGTGGGTCTGCACCTGTTGGAAAGTGCTTGAAAAATTGTTTCCCTCTTTTAATCAAAAGACGAAAGTGTGCAGAAATGGTGTTCCCCCTTCACAATGACAAGTGAAGAAGTGTTAACAGCTGGCTTTGCTATAAGTTCTTACTAAATCAAAATCAGAAAACCTCTCTTTACTGACATTTATAGTAATTGGTGTGTTATTTAGGGCATGATATTTGCACTCTGCAGTTATATTCAGGAAATTGTGTCCTTTCTGTGGCCCTGATTGAACATACGCAACTGGCTAAATATTTTGCTCAGACTAAACAGACAGTTGTAGATCTCGAAAGATAAGAATTCTATAGTCATTACCACATTACTAGCATAAAGGCGTAAATAATGTTTCCAATATTAGCCAAAATAGAGTCCCTACAGTAATTTTATCACTAACAGATTCTTCTGTTCAGAAATCATTTCAGAAGTGCATCACAAAATACACTTATTTAAAGGGAATTTTTAGCTTTGATGCTATTAGACAGCAAAACTGGAACCATTCAGTGTACAAATAGCTCTTCATTTACCTAAGTCACTCAGCACATCTGTTTCAGAATGGGCAGACAGTGGTAAAGGAACAGAAACTTCTTCCTTATGCAGAATTGCAACAACCCCAAGCCCCGACATAGCATGCTGCAGCTATTGTGCAGATGACAACTCTTGCTATTTTGTATTTCAAGTTTCTATTACCAGTTCATTCAGAGTATTCTCAGAAGAATTATAAAGCAGTGTTCGTTAAATACTGTGGAGACAAGACTGTTCTCACTGTTTTAAGAAACGGTGATGAATGTTTTCTTCCGGCCTCTGCTAAGATGTCCAGAAATACGGTCTCCTTGTAGAGAAGATCTGAGATACCACACCAAGATCTCACCTCAGTTCACTGCAGATATATTACTACCAGCACCCTCTCTGTGTGTTACATGAATTTTGGCACTGATAAGTACTTCCCAACCACAAGCACTGACCATAAGTATTAGTTCAGACTGGGAAGTGAACAGGGAACTAATTTTTCAATTCTCCCCAGCACACTAAATTGAGATGCCACATGCATACAGCTAGAGTAAACACCTAACACTGCCCAGTCAAAAGGGTTGTACATGTAACTTCTGGTAATCACCTGGCAAAACACCACAAAGGGAGAACTTGCAGCAACCCCATACACAGGATGCTGCATGTTGTAAATCAGAAACTCATGTTTATGCAGTCTTTCCACTCTCTTAGTCCTGTAAGTTACAGACAATCTCTTCAGGAGAAAATATTTATAGATATGATTTGCCTATATTCCTTTCAGGCACAATACCACTACCATTAGTCAAATCCAATATCCAGGTAACCTTACATAGCCTGCAGATCATAACTCTACCAACCTGAAGTGTTTTAGCATCCAATATCCTGTGTCAGCTATGGACCTTTAGAAAGTTTTATTTTTAAGAGCAGTCATCTGCTTCTTTCTTTGTAAAGAAATGAGTATGTGTGGGAGCATTAAAAATGCAGTTTTCCATTATGTTTGCCACAGGCAATATTTCTCAATTTGTGCAAGTCAAAAGAAAAAGAAAAAATAGCCTATTAGTTGTTAGAAGAGCTGAGCCTTTCCCCTGTAGGTTTTCATGTGATTTACTATACAACAAAATATATGCAAATTAGGCAGGTAAATGCAGAATTAGATATTAATATTCTTATCACACTTTAGATTGAAAAAAGTTACAAATTTGCATAAACGGTACAACTGAAAGAGTCAGCTAGAATTTAATGAATCAATAAAGCATTCCCTTGTGTGCATACATGAAGTAAGACCCACATATCAGGACAACAACGGGTCTTCAAAATTATTTATCAAAAAAGAAGCTACCTGAAAGGATTTGCTGATCATTTTTAACTTGTAAGTGCTAAAATGAAAAATTACAAACAGATAAATACTGGTCTTATGGAAATCTCACCTTTCACTAATTCATGAGTTTAATTTTAAAAAAGAGTTCTTGCATGTCTGCTCTTCCATTTCAACATACCGGCAAAAGTTTTGTTCTGGTAGCAAAAACACAACTCCATTCCGAGAAAATTAAAGTATTGAATGTCTGTGACTTACTCATTCTTCACACCTAAAAATTAAGCACATATCCTCAGTAAATTGTGACTAAACTTTTTTGTACCCTTGCTATTGCAGTGTCTGTGTTTAGTCATCACCAAGATGAGATTTCACACAAAAAATTTTCTGAGCAAATTAAAGACTTAGAAATCTCAAGCCAACAGACCGAGAATTTTGTCTGGAAAACCACCTGATCTAGGAATGCCAAGAACACTTGAAAACTAAGAAAAATTACCTAACAAGGAAAACAAATAAACAATCAAACAGATGCCTAAGGATTAATAAATGCAAAATTACTATGGATACTAGTATTTCCAAATGAAGTTTAAAAATCCACAGTATTAAAAGGGCACCTAATAAAAATGCATATTTTGCTTTACTCCTACATGCTCAGCTACATCTTTATGAAGTGAATGTAAAACCAATCACATAGTATTTCTGTACTCATCTCTGTATATAGATATATACATGCCTACACACATACACAAACTTATTCATGTAAGATACAAATCACAAAGTGCAGAGCAATGGAGAAAAAGACTTGATAAAAGTTGTGTGCACAACAACAAACAAATTATGAAATACTACTTTTGTTTTCTAATGTTTTATACCTAATCCTCACCAGCTTTGGACTTGTAAAAACACTGGATTATTATGGCCTATCTGACCGGCAACTATATTTCTCAGACCCCCTAAAAAGAGCCTAGAAAATGGAAATAACCTGTTAGACAAATGTTATTTTAGTGAGAGTTCTTGGAAGAAAGTAATACATAGACCCTGTTTCTGCATTAGCACTTAATACTGAATTAACTGTCCCATTGCAACTGCTTGGCTAGGAAGAATATAATTTTTATTGCAGTTTCTAATCCATTGCAGTTTGTATATGTGGTTGAAGGCTGCATGGATTGAAAGCAGGTTTCCTATCGAAGTCATACAAAACATAATCAAGTAATTTATGGTAAGAGATGGACTTCCAGTTTAATTAAGCCATTAATCCAGAATTTCCTCTTAGCATGGTCCAGCCTTGTATCTCTCTCAGGAAGGTTCCTTATCTGTCCTAGAGGTTGATTTAATGACAAGACATCTCTGTTGTTGCCCTGGTTGGTGTACTGGAGTCAGACTTTTTTAGTCTGGCTAAACATCAGAATGGCAAAGCATCCCAAAGCCCAGTTCTTCTCAGCACTCCGTATGTCCAGACATGAGCAGCAGCTGAGGGCTCATATGAGGCAGACAGCATCACTTCGAGTTCAGTCCAAAGGTTTGTTATACTCATGCTTTTATTATCTGCCCCACCAAGTTACTGAGTCCAATTGAGTTCAGGAAAAAACAAAATCACCTTAATGCATGGC